CAGCCACGTCAACAACAGATGCTAATAAGAACAATAATAGGAATTACTCACTATCTATGTCACATACAGAATGCTAAAGGAAGGAAAGTGGAGGTCTTTTGAAGAGCAGAAGCCTGACTGAGAGCAGGAAACAGCATGCAAGGTGATGGAATTATGAACAGTAGCAGGAGCCGATCAACTCCTGCCTATCGAGTCTCCTGCACACTCAGCATCTTCAATTCATCCACAGCCTCTACTGTCACTGGCACCCTCAATCCCAGTAAAGTGCTATGAATAATGAATTGCCTTGAAGGAAGGGAACCAACTGTTTCTGAGTTTGACAAGCTTTTTTATGCTTCTTTTTTTGTTGTTAATTTAAGCATGTTGCTATTTCCAATATTACACATGTATAATTTTGCAAGAGGTCACCAGAACCCAAAAACAAAGCCAGAAGCTCTGAGACTGCATTAGGACAGGGAATTAGCTCTCCTCAGTGAGCTCTGAGCACTCAGCAGAGGTGAGGTAGTGGCCTGAGACTGGAAGAGGAAAACCTGTAAGTTTGTGATGCTGCTGTTGGATTACAGACTTCTTGGCAGGACAGTTTGCATGAAGCATGCAAGTGTGACAGCTTGTGGCAGCTGAAAAATCTGAAAGCTGTCCAGCAGTTAAACTTGCCCCAACAACCTATACAGGTTTCATATCCATTTGCAATTCAACACAGCAGTTTTGGGTGGTATTTTTTTTTCCTTCATTTTTAAATTGTTCGGGAGAAGGATCTATTCAGAGGAAGAAATACACAATGTGTAATCGCTTAGCAGAGTTTAAGCCTCAGTGCAGTGCTATGATACTTTTAAATGCATGGAACGTCATGGTTCTGCACTGCTTGCTTTATATAGAAAAAAATGAAAGAGGGATGTTACTGGAAAACAGAGAAAAGTTGGTTATACACCTGATAGGTCTGCTGGGCTTGGTAGGGAAAACCATAAGCACAGGAGGAGATAGCATTGTGAAATGGTATATGCACACACATGAACCGCAGTAGGACCTGCTAAAGACTCAACTGCAAGGATTTCTTCTTTGGAATAGGCAGTTCCCATAGAAGATTTCCAAGGTTTTAAAAGCTTTAGTTTTCTGTTTGCAGAGGCATGTTTCCAGGCTCCAAAATGCCTTTCGAAACAGACTCAGATCTGAAACTGGATGTGGGAATGAGCAATGAAGCCAAAACCACAACCACAGTTAATGGCTATTGGCTCTTTGGAATTAAAAAAGACGTATTCTGTGGGATCCTGCAAGAAAAACCACACTTTGCGAGTCCTGGCTTAGCAGCAATTCTCCCATGCAGTGGCTTTTGTCTTTGAATGGCAGAGATTACCAGAGTGATGTAGAACAAAATTTATCCACCACTCTACCACCTCCATCACTATTTCCTTCTTACTCTGAGTTCCTGACCTCTATGCACTGCATCACGGAAGAGACTGTGTGATGGGGAGCTTCAAGCAGATGGAAAAATCTGACACAAGATCTGTAAAAAGGACTCTGGGGGAATGACTGTTGCCTCTGTTTACTTAGGCCCCATGACTTTTGTACAAGAAGTTGGCCACTGGGTCTGCCTCTGTGGTCAGTCCATGGTCTCTCATCCTTCTGAGCCTGAAGCAGAGGGATGCGGCAAAGAGACCGATGACCCCAGCTAGGGTCCTCATATCATCCTTCCTTTGCCCTGTACAGGCAATATGCAGTAGATCTCCTCCCTCTGTCTTCAGAGAGGGTGGATTTGTTTCATACAGAAACTCAAGACAGCAGATGTTGCTACTTGCAGCTATGTGAAGAAACACAGGCATGTAAATTCTTAATCAGAGGAACAAAAGATCATCTGTTTTACAGGAAGGAAAATATTAGAAGAAAATTCCAATAGTATGTGATTTCTGCATCCATTTCAGCACCTCTAACCTCTCCACCTCATCATCCCAAGGTACAAAAACTCTGAGAACCTTTTTATTTATGAAGACAATGCCAGGCAAATGAGAAAGTTTTCCCTACCACTAAAAGGAAGTAGTGTTGAAGAAATGTTCAGTCTGACTACCACATAATTGACTCCACAGCATCAACCTTGATAATAAATTTCATTTCACTTCATAAAGGTGTCCAACAAAATAAACTTGCAACCTAATATTAAAGGCAGCAGATGCAACTACTAAGTTAAAGAGTGCTGAGAATTTATTTTACACTTTTCTCACACTGAGATAGAAAAATGTCCCTAGAGAGCCCCCACTTTTTTATTAACTCCCCTTGTCATAACACAGAAACAAATAACACAATACTTAGCATCCGTGCTGAAGTTCTGGACACATTACCTTTACACAAGCTTATAAAAACCAGAGACTGTATATCCTTACACAGTAAATCTACTCTAATTTGGGGAGCTAGATGATTTATTTGCAAACACTGTCGTCTCCATGGTGATGCTGATACCAATTTTCAGTTTTTGCACTGATCTCTGCAATTATAAATTTCCTTATAGAATAAAGAGTCACTTGAGAGGATGCGGATGGTGATACAAAACTTTTAGATTGCTTCTCCAATTTGCTAGTAGAATTAGCATTTATCCATCATTTCTCATGAAAATGTTTCCATAGATCTACAAAGATCAGCCACAGAATTAACCTAGACATTTCCTACTGGCAACTGTGAGAGACAGGTTATTGAGCTACAGGCTTTTGGTCTGAACCTCTATGTTTGTTCTTTTCACAGAGGACTACGGGTGGTGAGAAGATAAAAAGAGTTTGGCCAGAGAGATTGGTACTCTGACATCAGCACCTACTGAACAATGAGGATGTGCCAGTGAAGTCAGAATGAAATCTCAATCTAGTGATAGCTATTTGAAAAATTCTCACTCTAGGGAACTAGGTAATGACATCAAAACCACAGCTTTATTAGCTAGGAAGTGCTGTTCCTCTTCCAGTGGTGAAACATGAACTTTGCTCCATTTATGATTCTTGCATGTCTCACTGGTGTTCCCAGGAAAAAAATGCATGCTACATCCTGTGTATGTGCAAACTAATGGCTATAGGCTAAAACATCATCCTATGCAGAAAATTCTCAGATCTGTAGTTTGGATGGAAATTCTGCAACCTCAAGCGCAAGCAGTTTTTGTTAAGTCATTTTTCAGATAGGCAGTAGAGCTGCAGATGCTGTTTATCAAGGTAGATGAAAGATTAACTCCTCCAATCCCAAGGACGCTTTAATATCAATGGAAGAAATCTTTAACATCAGTGTTCCTCTAGAAAGCGAGGTAGTTTCCATTTCAATAAGTTTCTGGGCTAATTCCCATGCATCTACCCTCTTCAGGCAAGAACAAAAACCACACCTGCATAATAAGTTCAGATGTCCTCTACATGCTGGAGTCTGTATAGGTTCAAGATGTTCCTTTCTCATCCAGAAAGGCTTCATGGAAAGGAAGCCTGAAACACGTTCAGCACAGGCTAGTGGTGCCACGCTGACTTGTTCCCACTCTAACATGGGCTACTGGTCAAAGGGGAGAAATGAAGCACTGTCATTCCCTCTACAGAAAGATCTAACTGGATAATTTGGACATGTGGTGAAAGTTATTTACTTATTTTCAAAAGGTGCCTCAAGCTATGACTACTAAATCTGTAAGTAAACTCTAATTTCTGGTGCGGATTATAGAAATGCAGAGCTTATCATGCCTCCTAGTGCTGTTGAGAGTCTTATCTTTGATTTCAGTGAGCTTTGATCAGGCCCACGTAAAGCTAAGCCACTTCGGAATCACTGCACAAGTGTTAACTAATAATCTCCAAGAGCAGAACAACATCTGCCCACTTCAGTACAACCCTAAAGGAAGTACACCTGCAGAGGAAAACTGACTGCCATTATTTTTGAAAAGGAAAACCTGAGAAATAAACAATGCTTGAAAATGTGCCTATTAAGGGACAGATCCACATCTTGTTCCAATTGGATTCATCGAAGACAATAAAGCTATATTAATTTTCAACAGCAAAGAATTGGCCTTCTTTTAAAAAATTGACATGGACTCATCTAAATCTTGAACTGCCATTTGCATTAAACCTGGGAAAGTATTGCCTTCCCCTTTTCAGTGTTTTTTTGCTCAACATTAGATAAAGCAGGGGACTTTTCAGCCAATTCAGCAATAGAGGAAATTTCCAGATGAGCATCATTAAAAACAGGATTTTCAATAATCGAACCGGAGTAGGAGCACAAGTCCTATTAAAAAATGCGGAAAACCAGTATCCAGAGAGCTTCCAGTGTCTGCTGGAATTCCTCAGAATAAGTTTTCACAAGACCAGATTTTTTTAAAAAGTCCAGGACTTCTACCAAAAATCAGTTTGACTGATAATTCAGTGGGAAACAAGCCCCACTGAACAGAACTTTTCTGTTTCTCAACACATTGATCTTCTATACTTTGTTTGCATTGTCCTGGAAGGACTGGACATACAGCACTGTAGGACAAATACTGAACATTTTTTAATATAAGCAAGACAATGCTCATCTAAAGCTTTAGCATAAACATCAGGTAGAGAGATTTACCAAAGTGTTTTTTACTGTAAAATATCGATACTGTGGTTGCCAAAAAAGTAAAGAAATGAGTTCTTCTTACTTGTATAACAATAAGGTTTGATAGGTAGAATGTATGAAATATATAGTAGCTTCTTCTGAAAAGCTGGCTAAGCTCACTCAGCTTACAGTATATGGAATGTAATTATCCAGAAAGTGAAATATGTATAAAAATAGGTAAAATTCCTACAATATTTGTATTGAATTATAATTCCTCCTGCCAGGAAGGTTACAACAGGTCTACAATATATATATGAAATGCTTGTTCATAAAGTTAAAAAACATCGTTACCTTACTGAAGAACACATTAAATGTAGGAATGCATAATCAGAACTGACTCTCAATTCTGCTTAGCTGGTGCAAATCTACAGAGAACCATCATCCTTTCTGCACAAAACAAAACCAACCTCTAATTTGAGAGTTGGGGTTTTTTTTGTTTTGTTTGTTTTTGTTTGTCATAGAGGGGCCAGACTGAAGTGTATGAAAGAAATTCCTCTGGAAGTGGAAGTACGTTGTTTAATTTTTTTTCCCCTATCTCCACTTGTTTACTGACAGCAGTCACCCACCTTTTAAAATTATTATTGCCTGACATTACATGGAGCTTTTACTGCTTGTTCAGAACAAGGCAGTGAAATAGAAAGAACCTCCAACTCCCCTGTCATGACCCAGTTCTGGGCTTGTGCTTTTTTGACAAGTCTTTGATCTGCAGCAGGCCTCATAGGCTAGTCTCCCGGAGGAACATGGTACCAATGTTGTAAGAAACCTTTCTCACTCTGGCAGATGTGATGGAGGGTTTTGGCGGCTTCTGACCACTTCTGACCTCGAGGAAGTAACAGATCCCAGGAATTTCCTTTGGAAAGTTTTCTGGAAGCTCTTCACGGGAACGAGGGATAAAAATAAAATTTTCTTCCTTTTTCAAAAGCCTAGGAAAAAAACAAAACAGAGGGAAATAAAAAACTGTAAAACGCAGTCCAGAAACATCCCTTTGGAAGAGGTTGATCCTATGTGGTCCCAAATAAAAAATGAGTTAAAAGTATTATGTAGCATCTAATAAAATCCTAAGCCAGGATCCTTAGCTGATCTATATTAACTTAGCATCACCAACTCCAAGGAGCTCTGTTGACTGAGATCAGCTGAGGAGATGGCCCAAATAAACACATTCTCTGAAAATCAGTGTCAGCATTCAGAAAGTCATGTACCAGAAAGTGAACCAAATTCATAATTATCATTATCCATTATGTATCATTTGGCTCACTTAAAACACTCCAGTCTGGCCAGTTGTGCAGAAATGAACATTTCAGAGTGATGACTACCACCAGATCTCCTGCTGCAAAGTAGGTATGAAGGTGACAGTGCTTGGGAGCTCTCACAGGTAGAAGCAGGGTGGTCAGTTTGTGCCCTTCTCATACTAGTAGTATTGTATTTCACAAATTAGGTTCAAACACAGCAAATCCAGCTTCAACAAAAAACAGAATCAAATCTGGCATTATTCATCAGAAGTACCCATGGGTATAATCTGGGCCACCTGGTTGGGGTCAAAAAGGGATACAGGTTCACGGGAGCCGTGAAGCCACCCTCCAGGTATGCCCACACAAGTGGTACAACATCACAGACCTGACTATATTGCCATTTGCCATTTCTCATCTTCCTCCATAGTAGAGAAATCTCTGTCTGGCTACACCTGAAAGTTTAGGGCCTCCTTATAAAGTATCTTCCCTGAAAACTAGTTGGACTTGTAAAATAAAGAAAATAACTCTACACGTTTTCTTTTTGTTTCCAGTAAATTAAGTTAGGGGTACTCAGTCCCTTGCAGCATTGAAAAGAGGAGTTGTGAGGTAATGGTAAAAAAGTCTGAGCGCAGTTGGATATATGAAAGCAGTCTTCATCTTTTCCCCTCCCAAGATATTTATTCTTTCTCTCCATCAGTCTTATTTGAAGCTCAAAAACATCAGTGAGAAGAACTTTATTAGCTTCAGTGGATTTTGCAACAGGTTGTTGTGCTGGTTTAACTCCAGTCAGCAACCAAGCACCACAGAGCTGCTCGCTCACCCTCCCCCCTGCCCCAGTGGGATGGCGGAGAGAATCAGAAGAGCAAAAGTAAGAAAAGTCATGGGTTGAGATAAGAACAGTTTAATAATTAAATAACAATAACAATAAATTGTAATGAAAAGGAAAACAACAAGAGAGAGAAAGAGAGGAACAAGACCCAGGAATAATAAGTGATGCAACCTCTCACCACCTGCCGACCGATGCCCAGCCAGTCCCCGAGCAGCGGCCCCCCCGGCCAGCTTTCCCCAGTTTATGTACTGAGCATGACGTCACATGGTATGGAATGTCCCTTTGGCCAGTTTGGCTGTGCCCCCTCCCAGCTTCTTGTGCACCTCCAGCCTTCTCAGTCAGTAGAGCATGGGAAGCTGCAAAATCCTTGACTAGTGTAAGCACTGCTTAGCAACAACTAAAACATCGGTGTGTTATCAACATTGTTCTCATCCTAAATCCAAAACACAGCACTGTACCAGCTACTAGGAAGGGAATTAACTCTATCCCAGCTGAAACGAGGGCAGTTGTTTATTTAATGTCTCTAAAGCTGATTTCTGGGAAGTAAATGAATGAATGAATCCTGTTGCCAGGAGAATTTTCCAGGATTCTCAGCACATGTAATGGCACTTCCTTTACTCAGTATTTTTTGTGGGTTTTGTCTGAGACAATCTGTGTGAGCTCATTGAAATATAAAGGCATTTTCTTCTCAGCTTTTAAATAATCAGTTGGTTATAAATCCAACAATGTTTTTGCCTTTGAACTTCTGTGGTGGTCTTTGTTTACCATGCTGTTTGAATGTCATAATCTATTTTCCAGACTGCCAATTTTATGATCAAAATACTGTAATCTTTTCTAAATTGCATAAGAGTTTGCAGAGGCCTCTACAGAGAAGCTTCTCTCTTTTCATCGCTGCAATGCTTGAGGTAAACGTTTTGCATTTTAAAACTACAGGCTTAATACACTGAAATAACTGTTTGCTGCTTCTCAATCTAGATTTCTGCAAGCAACAGTTGAACTCTTAGAACTTTCTGAGCTAAATCTGTAAGCTTTCGCTGCAGTCATTCTTCCGCAAAATGACTATTCACTATGGAGTGTCTGGCCTTGCTAAAAATCAATGCTTTCCTAACATCATCTAATTGTAATGACAGTTATACAAGTCTGAAACTGTAAAATATATACATATACTCTGATTCAGTTCAGGGCTGGCACTGAGCTTAGTTGCTATTTCATACTATTTTCCTCATAGAACAAATGTACAAGATATTAATTAAAGGCCTCATATTCACCTGTTTTGTGAATTGTAACTTGGTTGCAATGAAATGCTCTGAGAGTATCAAAGATGCCAGGAGTGATGGGTGACTAACCAATTAGTCCTTTGGAAATACTTCCATTACTATGGCTTGTGATAGACTCCACATCCCTGTATTAGGTGCACTGTTTGAATCAGCCTCTCACTCTCAGAAATTGTCTAGCTGACCTTTATTGGGATAACATTTCAGCTCCCAAGCAAGCATGGCAGGAAATCTTCTTTACCAAATGCTAATGGAAGCTACTTATGATCATATTCTATCCTATGTACTTTAGTTTATACTTTTAAGAAAAAAAAATATTTGCTGGCTGTTTTAATAATACTATTAGAAAGACTTTAATCATGACAAAAATGGCCTTTTGCTACCATTCTCCTAAAGAACAGGTTCTTCAGATTCCTTAAATGTATTGGTCCTGACACTTGTTTTCCCAGGCTAAGAATGAGTTCATGATTCAGAAATTGCCTCTGATTTCTTATAGCTTTGCATATAGAGTAAAGAAATAAGTTATCTGCTAATCCTCAGTGCTTATCAGTGAGGATATTTTTCTGCAGGAATCTTCCCTCCTATATTTAGGCCATTTGTGACGTTAAAAAGAAAACAGTAGCAGTTGATGGCCATGGCCCAGATCTACAGCCCTTTCTAAGTTTTTTGTCTTCCTTTTCATGGGTATAAAGAATCCCAAAAGATACTTCTGCCAAGCAGCAAAATGAATAGTGCACGTCCTCAGCGAGGGCAAGGCCGAGCCACGCAATCAGTTTTTGTATTTCCCCTCTGGCTCAGGGGAAAAGCCAGTGTAAAACCTTCTGGTCTGGAAAGTTTCCTGGGTGGTGGCACCCAGTTCTGGTTGCTTGTCTCACCTTGTGGACCATTCTCAGAGCATTTTGTTGTGACCAAGTCAGATTACCTGATCTGAAAGTTTGAGAGCACAACCTATCCTTCACCTTCAGGAAATCATGTGACAGCTTAAACTCTACATAAAATGTCCCCAGATTGTCCAATAGTCATAGAGCTTAAGTTGAAGTTACACAATCTCCACAGTTCAGGAATATGCATATAACAACTAGTCTGAAAATATTCCAAAGCATTTATCTTGGCTGTATTTCCTGCATCTCTTCTGTGTATTACCCTTAAGAGCACTATTGCAAAGGATATTTTTACAGTACGTTATCCACAGGTTCAAAATTCTGGGTTCTACTCAAGTGGTTGGATATACAATTTACAATTCAGTGCTTAAATTGTGAGGGTCAGGCTACTCAAGCATTCCTATAAATTGCCTGGAACTAGGTCTGCCCTCAGCTTGTCTTCCTTGTTGATGTTTCAGGGGAGGAAGAATTTCTTAAACACTAAGCTGTAGTTGATTAACTGACAGCTTCCCCTCCTAACCTGAAATCTTCCAGAACTGTTTAAATTCTTGTTCTGTCCCTTCCCTCGTGGAAATGCTGTTGCTTGCAGACAAAAAGAAGTGGTATCTGAAAATTACCTCATTTATTTTTTCATTTTCAGTTCCTTCATTTAAAAAAAAAAAGGTGTCGTATGTAAACAGAAAATGTAGTTATTTCTTACTGGAAACAAGAAGCATTTAAAGGTCAGGAGGTCTGTGTGGGAATGAAAATTGGGATTGTACTTAGTGGGAACCTTGAAGAAGCTTTTAAAAGCTGTAGCTCTTTTTTGCTAGATGATGATAGGGTAATTATATTTCATCTATTCATGCATAGATGAAATGATAGGGTAATTATATTTCACATTATTTTGGCAAGAAACAGTCACATCTTCATCAGTGAGTTCCTATATTCAGAAAATGAGCTAACAGAGATTTGTTACTACAGAATTATTTCATAGAATCATAGAATAGTTTGGGTTGGAAGGGACCTCTAAAGGTCATCTAGTCCAACCCCCCTGCCGTGGGCAGGGACATCTTCAACTAGATCAGGTTGTTCAGAGCCCCGTCCAACCTGACCTGGAATGCTGCCAGGGATGGGGCATCCACCACCTCTCTGGGCAACCTGTGCCAGTGTTTCACCACCCTCAGCGTAAAAAATTTCTTCCTTATATCTAGCCTAAGTCTACCCCCCTTTAGTTTAAAACCATTACCCCTTGTCCTGTTGCAACAGGCCCTGCTAAAAGTTTGTCCCTGTCTTTCTTATAAGCCCCCTTTAAGTATTGATAGGCCGCAATAAGGTCTCCCCCGAGCCGTCTCTTCTCCAGATTGAACAACCCCAACTCTCTCAGCCTTTCTTCATAGCAGGGGTGTTCCATCCCCCTGATCATTTTTGTGGCCCTCTTCTGGACCTGCTCCAACAGGTCTGTGTCTTTCTTATGCTGAGGGCTCCAGAGCTGGAAGCAGGTACTCCAGGTGGGGTCTCACCAGAGCAGAGTAGAGGGGCAGAATTCCCTCCCTCGACCTGCTGGCCACGCTTCTTTTGATGCAGGCCAGGATACGATGCAGGCCAGGATACGACGTGTTGCAAGGCTCTCTATGCTGAGTGCATGCTTTCCACAATGATTCTTACTCTCTCCATGCCCACTGGAAAGCAATTTCACCTCTTTATCTCTCCACCTCTCAGAGATTTCCG